CCGCAGATCAATTAACCGGTTTAAATAGTTAATTTTGATAAGTCGTCCAAAATTATATTAAAAATTATATTATCTATTTTGTGACGCTTCTGCGCAGGTGAAAAAAATGCCGTATCATTCAACGTCATAATTCATTTGCTGATCATCGGAATTAATGACTAGATCGCAGATTTCAGCAATCTGTCGATTTTCATAGCCTATGGTTGACGTGCTACTTTATGTCTCTCGTCTAAGTGATGCTCTCGGATTGCTCCAGCAACCCTATCCCTATCCGGCTATCTGCTCGGATCCGGGATATTCTTGGCTTCCATCAGAAGGCCAGTGAGAGCTCCTAATAATTACATTCGCAAGTCCTTAACTCCGTTCCACTCTTAAAGATCATGAATGAAGAAACTAACAGAGGTTAGTTTACAAGATATCAAAGTGCTTTGGATGAAATCTGACTACCGAAATCAGCAGTCAGACAATAGACAGATGTATGTAGTGTTCGTAGATTCGTAAATTCGTAGATTTCTTGGTAGACTTAGTGATAAGAGGAACAGCTTCAAAACTAATCTTTATGATATTCGTTTTATTTAACCGCTTATAGCGGTGATATGGTGTTTCAACTACATGCCCACTGATGTTGAGCAATGTGCAAAACTTTCGCGTCAGGCGGGACCGGAACCCGCACCTCATTCTTTCCGGTAATCCGTACTCTATTCGTTACCAATCTTTATTATGATTTTGACTTTATTTTTATTTTGACCTTCACGAAGATGGTATCTTTTTCCAGATCAATGATCTTTCTTTTCGGTCGATGGGTTTTCTTTTTGGCAAATACGCTTTCTTCAGAGCCTGAACGTGTTATTCGTTGTAACGTTACTCATATGATTAATATACTGCAGAACATTGAAAATCTAGGGCATTGATAAGCGATAAATGATTCAGGAAATACCACTTATCATGTAATCTAGTCTGGGGACTACCTATGTTGTTAGCGTAGGGTTGACGTATGAACCCGCCCCCATGCCACTAGGGTTGAATCAGCGATAGGTGACAGCTGATACCCCAGGTTAGAAATTAATCTGAGGTAAGGGGCAATGTGGTTGGTTATGTTAAGGCGCTCTCCCTTTTGTTCATTGTGGGTTTTCTGGAATTAATCCGGAAGCCTCACGGGTTTTTCGCGCCGATGTTTTCGACTGGTGCCCTAGATTCTAACTACTACCTCGAAGTCCTCATCGTTGTGCCTTTGTATCCTGTGTGCACCTAGGGCTCTACTTGGGTCTTTGTCTGTTTTCCGTCTAGGTGTTCTTTATGCGGATGTGAATGGTCTGCCTGTTTCGCCAATATATTCGTCACCACATGTCTTACACGAGATAAGGTATATTGTGCCTACGCTCATGCAATCGCCATCTGTACTGTAGGGACAAATAACGCCGCTATTTATATTAAATAGACGGTCATACATGAGGTTTCGGACTAATTGACAACGCAGTGTCTTATGCGGAATTCTACAATTCTCTACAAAGTCTTCCAAAACATTGTTATTGGGGATTTTCTAATAGCAACGCTTACTTCATCTGTTATGAAAGATAGTTTGAGAGGCACCTCACTATTTATTTGTGCCACCCTTGTTATTCTCATTGTGAGGCTTTCGCTCCTTTTTGGTCTAACGTTAGCTGATGTTTTTTCCTTGTACCCATTACAAATGGCTATTTGCCGCGCTAAATTCAGTGATTCCCTTTTTTCATCCTCTCCAATACAAACACTTACAGCTGTTCGATATAATTCGAATAAGTGCTTTTTACTATGTGAGGGATGAGAAGAGAGATAATGCACTAAAATGTTTTTGTTACTGTGCTTACGAACCATCTGAGCCATTTTCATGAGTTAACTTGAAACGTTCAAGAACGGAAGCCAGTTCTCTGAATGTTGTTTCTCGCGCAACTTAATAAACTCTGACTGCCCGTTCAGAACTTCAGAGCAATTTATCCATCTCCTCTTGTGTAGAGCAGATGACAAAGCAGTCGTCTATGTATCGACGGTAGTGTATTAGGCGCCGATGGAGAACTGGAGCTTACACTTTTGATAGTGATTGCGCATCAGAGAAAGAAGTAGAGAAAAAAGACTTAGACAAAGGTAGGTGTAAAGAATTATAATGACATACCTTTTTCTTAACCCTTCGGCAACGCCCTTCCTGCATTTCGCCGCCAATGCAGCCCACATTGATATTTGTATGTTTTTCGATTATCTGTATTAAGAGATAAAACTATGCATACCTCTCTGAAAAAGGATAGGTAAATGCTTACTCATTTCAGTAGTGCTATATGCTTGCCGTAGAAAACCTTCGGATCCAATTTCGCATTTGCTATGAGGATGCCGAGGAATGCCTTCAACAGTAATTATCTAGTTAGAACCCACTCATAACAAGCTGAGCGCATTTTCTATATAGAATGTGACTCTTGACCCTCATACCTGCAATGCATCCTTCTTTCAGTCCATTTCTTGCTTTCAATGTTAGTGTTGAAATCCTCAAGTAACCCTTTCTGACAATGCGCACCACTTTTTCTACGTTACAGCACGTCTATCTGTCAGCCGCCAACCGTTAACACTCCGTGGTATCTAGATTTTGAAATGTTCGCGGACACAGAGTAGTCATCGTTTTGATGAAGAAAAGTAAATGACGTCTTCCCAGTGCTTTGGGAGAACGTCACATATTCTCATTGTTTCCCTATTGAAGATTATAAGCTTCTCGAAAAGCAAGAGGCAACCCAGTCTCAAAACTCGAATGAAAAGTATCTATTGTATGCTGCTAAGGAATTCTTTTCACTAAAAACATAAGGAATCTTTTGAAATACGAAGCTCAAATTCTGATCTTTCGGTTTCCGAACAGGTATCCCAAGTTCAGTTTTGGGATAGGACTGAATCACTTGATGAACCTCTAAAGCAAGCACGATTCAGAGAATTCTGCGAAGTATTAACGAAGGCGGTGAGATCAGCTTTGCTGTTTCCGTCGATCAGTTGTTGTGGAATATTGACTGAGCTAGTTCTTTAATGTGATAATAGTGTTTAGTCAGCTGAAAGCTTATTATTGTCAACATGTTAGGATACTGGAATTTGATACCTTGAATGGAACTCAGCCAACCTGAACCTGCTTGAACTTTTCTAAATAGCTGTAGCTCCATAACTGCTGATGATAAGTCCTCATTATCGTCTTTGTTATAAATCTACGTAAATTAAGTATAAAAGGTGGGGTTGCACGTAGAGGTGCCCTACTACGCTTATAGGTTGATGCCGATCCCGTCTCAAAGCTCACCAAATTCTATTCTATTGTCGGCCGAAACGGTATCAGGCAGTCCGATTGCTAATTGAGCGAATTTTAACTGAAGTCCCATGAACACCGTTCCAAGCCGTATCCGTGTCGCAACCACTGAATGTGGTCTTCTTTTATAATCTCAGAGAAAGTTTGCTGTTCTTTGACTACGTTTGTCACAAAATATACCTTTTCTGTTCTTCATAAGTGACTACCGAGGTATTTACCTCACATAACTCGACAATATATTGCAGTAGATATCTCAATATTGCTATATTCGATTCACTTTTGATAGATTTTTGCTTATCTGGTGGAAGAGGAGCGCCACGTAGTGCATCACCAGTCCTTCTAATGGTTATGAACCAACTCAGGTTGCTACCAGTATTCTCCATTTCGCTGCGTGCAAGATTAGAAGAGTGAGTTCTATCCTCTTCAAAGACTCGCCAAGCGTTATATTTTCTTGTATTAGTTTCCAGGAAAATGATGCCAAAATTTGAACATTTTATTTGCGCTTGTTTTTCTGGTTTCTTAAGTGTCATTCATTTACTAGCTGAGATCGCTTGATGTTGTTCAGCCTGTCTCAGCCTGTGGAGCAAAGTCGTTCAAACATGCCATAAAGAAATATGCCATTTCGTGGTAATTTATCTTTTACAATCTTTAGGTATTCACGTGACGTTCTCGGAAAACGATTCAACGATTCAAAGTTGTAATGTCAGTACTGTTTGGTAAACCAAATTATTTAGAAAAGTAAGTAGAGTCAGACGTTACCAAGAAAAAGAGAAACCTGAAAAGCAGCAAGAATCAAGGAAGGCAAGCTAAGAGCATCGACCGCTGCGTCTAGGTTCGATGTAATATTTGGCGAAAGTGATAGTGAAAGCGACACCAAGGAAGATGATGATTGGCGAAAAATAGATAGAAACGGTAGAAGCAAAAAAGGAAGTAGTGAAGGAAAGTATGAAAAACCGGCTGTAACAAAAATAGAAGACGAGTCAAAGATGACGATCATTGTGATGGACATAGCGTCCGCTAATGCTGATTTTGGGTCATATATCTCTGAGTAGTAGCAAAAGTATGCGTTCTATAACTAATTTGTATTCTTTCAAAATGATCCCACTAATATCTAGAGTACCCATTGAAGTTAAGTGATGTGCGCAAAACTCAGCCTTTCATCTTTTTAGTGTACTATATTTTAGCAATAATCACGTTTTCCGTACTGAAGTTTCTCAAGGATAAAGTGGATCGACGGAAAGAAAAGAAAAGGCAAAAAACTCATGAAAAGCACAAAATGGTTGTGAGTTTATGATGGCTTTTGTGAAAATCGTACGATTACTTTTATTGCTGATATTACATTTTCGCTAATTTCTTGTTGTACCCTATACAGAGATAGAAAAAAGAAAGATTGTCGAAGAAGTCAAGGGAAAGGAAGAAGAAGAAGAAGGAGAAGGAAAAGGAAATTCGTGGCGCCATTCCTCTATCGTCCTCATCGTCAGTTGTCGAATTGACCGACTGATGATTTCAAAAGTCGCAAGATAAATTTCGATGCCTGTTTGACTTCTCTTAGATTCGTCAGATGTTGTGTTGCTTGTATATAGATTGTTACTTGTTTCCGATATGTTTGTTAATATATTTAGATATTCCTAAGAGAACTGAGTGGTGAACAGATATGCAGGTATCATAGAAATGTTGAAGAATGAGGTGGGAATGTAACTCTGTGGTGTAGTGGTAGTACGCGTCCCCGATATGGACGAAACGCGGGTTCGACTTTCGCCTGAGGTGGTGCTTTTGCTCACCGCTTGATTTCCTTAGGAATGTCAGAAACAAATCCCAAGACCGACTGGTCGATTAACCTCGGCATGCTTCAATACATTCTGATATTCTTCGTTAAGCCAAGCACGAGGTGTTACAATAAACCTTTATTTGACAGCTGACGTTTCGGCAGTTCGCCTTCTGCAGAGCCTGGAAGGTCAAATTGTCTGCAATCCAATAAGCCAAACACCTCCGACACTCCTTTAGAAAAATCACCAGACCTAGATTTAATCGCATCAAGCACAAAATCAACACTCAACATACTCACCGCTTTTTATATGTGTTCCACAGAGTGATATAAGTGGAGATCACCTGAAGAAGAGGCACATAGGCCTCGTAATGCACTCTTACCCATCAAAACAACAGTATATACTGACTTCATATCACGATGTGATAAGGGGCATTCCTCCCTGCGGTTTATGGTTGGATTGGTCGTATTAATCCAAAATGCTTCAAGAAGTCTTTCGCGCTGATGTTTTTTGCTCTTGTGCAGGGATGGTGACATCGATCTCAAAAGTCAACTCCGTCGTGCTTCTGTGTCCTATGCGTTCCCTAGCGAGAGTGTTCCGTCTATTAAGACGCTTGTCAGCTAGGTGTTCTTCTATGCGGGCATAGAGCGGCATACCCGTTTCGCCAATATATTTATCGCTACACGCTTTGCAAGAGATTAGGTAGACTGCACCTACGCTCATGCAATCACCGTCTCTGCCGTTAGGACATATTTTACAATCTTTCTATACAGAGAACGGTCATATAAGCGGTTGCGATCTAGTTGGCGTTTTAGAGTGTTCGGTGGTATTTCAATAAGAGCCACCGATTTCTCTAAACCCGCCCTTTTCAAACAGCGTTCTATAGCTGTACTAATCCCATTTGAAAAGAACGGGAGGATGAACGAGACTTTCCTTTTATTCGAGTTTTCGTTTGGAGGCGTACTTTTTCCTCTAAACCTAAGCCGAGAAGCTACAAATTCGTAGCCATTAGAAGTGGCTATTTCCCAAGCCAGTTTCACGTATTTTACTCTCTGCTCCTCCCCAGTACAGACACTGGCTGCTGTTCGAAACATGTTTTGTACTAGCGCTTTTTCGTATGTGAGGGATGAGAAGAAAGATCGTGAACCAGGATATTCTCATTTCTTGGCTTTCGGTACCATTTTGTTATGTAGCCGCTCTCAGTTAAGCTTATTTGCACATTTAAGAATGGGAGCCAATCGTCTTTTGGTATCTTACGGGTAAATTTTATATACTCTGACTGGTCATTCAACAATCTAAAACAAATATCTAGCTTCTTTTAAGCATTCTGTAATTGAAGTCCCATCCTTGCGCAGGAGCAAAAAAAAAATCAGCGCGAAAGATCTTGGAAGCGTTTTGGATTAATGCAACCAGTCCGACCATAAACCGCAGGGAGGAATGCCTCGTTATCACTCGTGATTTGAGTCAGTATATAGGAGTGTTGTTTTGATAGGGTAGGGTGCATTACGAGCCTATGTGATTTCCTTCCGGTGATCTCCACTTGAATTGCTCAACGGAGCACATATAAAAAGCGGTGAGTATGTTGAGAGTTGATTTTGTGCTTGTGCGATCGATCTCTAGGTCTGGTGATTTTTTCTAAAAGAGTAATGGAGGTGTTTGACTGATTGAATTGCGAGCAATTTGACCTGTCCAGGCTCTGAAGAAGGCGAACTGCCGAAACATCAGCTATGAAATAAAGTTAATGTAACGCCTCGTGTTTGGCTTGAAGAAGTAAATCAGGAATGTCAGAACATCAAACACTGACAAAAATACAATTAAACCCTAGAAAGTTGGAAGTATTATATTTGATTATAAAATCTCCTAAGTTCTAACTCAACTAAGTAAATATCCGTTTTAGACAGTATGCATTCTAGTTCACCACAAGTAATAGCGGTTATAGCTTCATCACCACGGGTGGTGCACTTCAAATAAAGTATGTACTTAAGTGAAAGTTTATAGTAAAAAATTGTGCAGCATATATCTCCTAGACAGAACATCCTAATATGACATGGACAGTTGTATAGGACGCATGTAACGCAGTGGTTAAAGATGTTTTGCAATACTCAGTGGCACAATCGCTGGTTAGTTCCGCGTCCCAGGATCTCAAGGCGTTTCACAACTCAGGGTCGACAGATTGCTGTCAGATCAGCTTAAGAGTACTAAACGCTTCTGATTCATCGGCAAGCCATTCAGAGGTCGTTGCATTTGTCAAATCAAAAGTACAGTTGCCTTTACGATGTTTCGAATGAGGTTGCGTGGATGGTGCATATCTTGAGAATTGATCAACACTGGAAGCGATTATCCGTTGAGCTTTAGATGGTCTTTAATGACCAGTTATGTTTCATAACATGTTCTCTAAGCAGGCTGTCGTCCACGGAATGCTCGATGGGTGTGGAGTTGCTGTAATCCACTCTCACTACGATACTTCTAAGAGAGCGCGAATGAATGCCCCACATTGGAATTTGGCAGCCGTATGACAATTTTCAAAGTAGGAGTTCCGTGGGCGATCGTGGTAGTGCTGTGTGCGCTAAAATGCTCAAAGTTCGTGCGCTTGATTCTGTTGAAGAGTAGTGGTCGTGAAGTCTACTGAGGACAGTGTGTTGAAAATCCATCCAACACCATAGAAAATTAAGTGGTGAGGAACACCTCACCTTGGTTAGGATTTGAACCCGCGTCTGCCGTCATGGCGAGTGCGCATGCTGTCACTACACTACCGAGGCGCCTTGCTCTGCCGATGACTTTATTTCATGTCTTACCATTTCATTTGTGCTACTCATTCAGGATGAGAGCATTATTTTTCTCTGGCCGTACTGGGCGCTGGTCCAGACGACACGGACAAATCGAATAGTAGTTTGTGTACAGTGAAGAGTACCGCGCCCACTCTCCCCAGGTCCGATGGCTGACCACGAAAGGTGAATTGGCTGGCCAACTGATGGGCTGACAGCCGACAAACAGTGAACGGGTCACAAGCCGAAGAGGATTCGAAGCACATATAAATCATGGGGTTTTTTTTTCAACACATATTAGATTAGAGAAACCTTATTGACTGAGTCGATAACCTTGGACTTTGATGAGATATTCTATCAAACAAAATTATGAACATGTTTACCACGGCTAGAAAATTGAAGAGAATCAAAAGGGCGCAAAAAATCACCCTCACAGTGAAAATCTCTTATTTTTCCTCTTCTGATTTCAAAATTCTAAATGAATTGGAAGAAGATCAGAGAAGAAAGAATTACCGAGGGAGCATGGCACGAGATTCATCGATAGTTGATCACCATCACACATTGACACCACCGTCTCGACGACTCGATTCATCTCCATCACGACCCCGAGATATTTGTAGTTGAGAGGGAAAATACACTCTTGTAAACGAATGATTTCTAGTTCGTTCCTACTAGTTGAGCCATCTCCATAATCGGTGCAGTCACAATAATTCTAAACTTCCCTTCAAAAGAGTAATTCTCTCTTCTATCGGAGAGTATTTCAATCACGATACAGCCGAAGTCTCGATCTACTATCGATGTTCCCATTTCACTTCGATTTACAAATAACAGCTCGATCAGTTACTTTCTGCTTTGCGTATTGTGGAGTGATGTTTGTTGTTCTCTCAAAATTCGTGGTATTTACAGCAGATTTCACAATTCTACGTCTTCTTGAGCTTACTTTTTAACTCAGTTCATTACTGACTGCTGTTTTTACCACTTGAGTATTACTAACCTTAACTACTCTTCTTTACCCTGACTCGAAAATAAATTTTATTACTTACTTTGGACGTTTGTTATTCTGATACAGTCCAAAATTATGAACCTCAGGTGGACTGGTTGATGGCAAGTGGTATACCTTAATTAGAGGAAAAAGACTGTAACACATCGGTGGCTTCCATGGCGTAGTGGTGGTGTAAGCTCCTGAAATGAGTGAAACGCCAGTATGACTCCTTTAGAGATTATGGGATTACTTATCACTCATCGTTATTGAAGATGTGACTACGAAAGGAGCGCATGTGGTGCAGTGCTTAGAGGTGCTTTGCGTCGCACACGAAGTCAATTGTTCGATCTCGCACTCAGGCTCACCAAGCCACAAATTTCTTTGGGCTGGGCAAAGTATCAAACTGGTCTCAGACTTGTCTGGAGGATGAGCCGCATTGACTCGATACAGCGGGCGGCCATCGCGAGTCATCAAAAAACCAGATATAATTTCAATCACCTCAAACGAAGTTAAAAATTGAAGACGAGTCCATGGCTCATCCCTTAGGAACTGATCAACGCCGAGAGCTCTACGCTTCACCTTTATTCTTTGTAAATACTTGTCAGTGTCCTGTCACCACTTTTTTGGCGAATCCCTACCCGATTCGCTGCCTCCCATTCTTTGTCCGTAGTTTTTCAAATATTTTGTGTGTATCGTTTGATTGCGAATTACTGTTCGAATCCGGCTGACGCAAATGTTTTTGCACAGCACTCTACATTATTGAGTATAATTTTCTATTTGTGGTAATTAAACATTCGAGGGAGTAGTCGAGTGGTTAATGGTACTCGGCGTTGACTTTATCTGCTCTTTCCAGTACTCCTTGCCAGGTAATTAACGGATGCCTCAGCCTGGCTATCCTCGAGGCTGCAAAATCTTCTTGACCAGTAGTGCATTACGACATTCGTGGAAAAGGACGAAAATTCTCAGGCACACAAGAAGACAACCCGATTGCTGGAAGTAATGAATTCTGCACAATGAAAATATCTTACGGGTTGAATAAAGTGATAGTGTAAAGACATTGTGTAATACCAAACGGGGCTCGTGTAGTGCAGTAGTTAGAGGCCTCCACGACGCACATGTGGTCGGTTGTCGATGGCCGATTGTTCGATTCGACTCCCAAGGCTCACGTAGCCTTCCTACCCTATGTCACCTGTGAATCGGTAGCACACTTGTCTGGGAAGATAACAGCACTGTATTGATACATCGACAGGTCAC